CCACCTGTATGAGAGGGCGTGTCTCTAATAACCCCACCCACCGGTATGAGAGGGCGTGTCTCTAATAACCCCACCCACCTGTATGAGAGGGCGTGTCTCCAATAACCCCACCCACATGTATGAGAGGGCGTACCTTGAATGGCTCCACCCACACACTGAGAGTCAGCGTTTGGCTCACCTCTCCACCCAGCTCTTGTAGCTGGGGATGTCCTTGGCGTAGAGCAGTTTGTTGGATGGCGAGTCTTTTCCTAGCCTGTGCTCAGACGTGGAGCAGGAGTCCATGAAAGTCTGGGCCACCACGGAGAGGCAGGCGTCCGTGATGCTGCTCTTGTGGATGTCGAAGACGAATTGAGGGTTCTTGATCACGTTCACCCAGAACCTCAGAGGTAGGCTGCGGGACACATTCAGACCAGAGGGTGAGGGGGTAGACTGGGGTAGGTAAGGGGTGATTGCCTTTTAATGTCATTCAGTCAACGAATCAACAGCTTCTTCTCCAGAATGTTTCTTTAGAGTGCTTTTGTTTTCAGATGAAATACAAGCAGGCTGCCGGGCAGTAACCCTGCTGTCCCTCATAAAGTTGCTGACTACCGCAGATGGGGGGATGGTGCCGTTTACATACAGACAGAAATGGACAAGGGTCATGAGCAAACACCCCCAGAAATCCAAACGGGTTTGCCACAACAAGCGCCAAGCACCTGGAACCACACGAAATGTGATGCCCCCCCCACACCCGTAGTGGAAGTGCTCAGTTGACATGGCCTATAGCCAACTCACACCACTGCCACCCTCTCCTGAGCCACGCCTTCTCCTCAACCTGACTCGCCATTTCCAGATGTCACCTAATAAATGTAACCTGTCCAGAGCGTTCCCCTGCAGTTCCGCCTCTGTCACAATGGGGGCACTGTCCTGCCCCTAGACCCAAGGAGGCCATCACTAAACCCTACAGAACAAGGTTGTCTGGGTGAGACAGACACAAAGAATGAGCAGAACAGAGTCCCCAAACGATGACCTCACTGCCTGTCAAGTCACAGTCACTCATGTGTGACAATGTCACAAAAGAAGATTTGGAGCTATAAGGCTGGGATTATGACTTCAGACGAAGAGCTGGAATGGGAAGGATGCCAGAATGTCGGCCATGGAGATGTGACCAGTCAGGCAGATTATGAAATTTCCAGGATAAAGGGCAGGATTAAGGACTTTCATTATGTGTTACCTATGGACCTTCCACTCTAATTCCTAGGTGTCACTGGGCTGGAACATGAACCTGAGTGTGAATGGAGACCCACAGAGAGGTCCAACGAGAAAGATGAGGACCCACACAGAATTCCAGTGAGGAACATGGAGACCCACACAAAGGTCTAGTGAGGAACATGGAGACCCGCACAGAGGTCCAGAGAGAACCACACATTTTCCAGGGCAGAAGATATACTTCCAAGCCCTAATGCCAGAAGATGCTAAAGCTAAAAGCTATGTCTAATTCAGAAAAGCCAAAAAGAAAATCTGTAAATACCCACGATGCCCTGCTCTACCCTGGAGTACTGATGTGGAGCATGGCGGCACCATTTCCAGAAAGACAACGTGTTGTGACACCGTGGATGGACAGCAGTGGGGACTGAGCATGGTGCAGCTGCTGACCAATCACAGCCTGCCACCGTATCCAGCTGTGCGTGTGGAAGTGTGTGAAATGCTGGCCTCTCTCTGGGTGATGCCTGCTCAGGGGAGAAGAAGAAGGCGCCACAGGGTGGCTGCAAACTTTGACCTTACTGTGACCTGAACCTGCTAGCTAATATCAGCTGTGCTACATAAGTAATATTTATATTAGTCTTTTACAGGCGATTAAGGAGATCGACTTGGAAATAAAGTGAGAATATTAAATATTTCAAAACCTGAAATAGCAGAAATGGATTGTGCACGAATGCATATGACTTTGTTATAAATTTTCTACCTTAAAAATTATGGCTTAAATATCATTCTATTTAAAGACCATGGAATAAAAAGTCGCCCTTATTCACAAGCTAGAAAACTATGGTGTAGATAAAATCTCATTATTTTACGATTAACAGAAAGCTGCATTCGGTACCTGCCCACTTCAGGTCTTAATCCCTGGCGAGTGAGTAAGATTTACAAATAAGTGACGGCTGGGCTGATCACCATCTGGGGGGGCCTGAAATCCATCTGCTGTTATTAGAACGAGGGCAAATTAAAGCCCATTCATTTAGGGCTTAATTAGTTTTTGTGTCTTTATGATTCACACAGTGCTCGTGGAGGAAGATGTGGGATAGTTCAGAGGACGGAGAGGTGGATGAGAAGTGGAACGGTGGATGAAAAGCAGCGAGGTGGATGAGAGGTGGATGAGGAGAAGCTGAGATCCTGGTTTCTCATTGTGAGGCTATGTCCATGTTCACAAAGGTGTGATTCCTAACCTGAAACTCAGCATGTGACCACAGTCCAATGTCGCTACATATCTTGTTCCTGAGAGCTTCTACCTCTAGGATACAGGTGCTTTTCAGCATTTCCTGAGTGTCACTACACTCTGCAGCCTGAGATCATTGTCTAGAGTGGGACCTGACTTTCTAAGAGCTGTATGTGTAGTATAATTACATCATCAAATACTAATTATTTTATAAAATAATCAGGGATTCTGATTTCATCGTGCCCAGCAAGGCCACCACATCTATTTTTCAAAGTTAATCTGCTGGATTACAGACAATGTTTCCAGGACAGTGCGATTCTGATGGCCATGTCCTCTAAGGACTCAGTGTCTTTGGTCTCTGTTTTGTTTTTGTCTTTGGTAAGGTGTCGTGGAGAGTGACACTGAAGACCATACAGCTCTGATGTCAATGGCTCCTTGGGAACCACAACGATAAGCCATCCTCTGATGTTTCAGGGACGCATGTTGGGATCAACCTCGGACGGCTGCCCTCTTACCCTCCTCTGACCCTGACAGATTGTGTCTCTCTTTCATGAGGGAGACCAGATTGCAGATGTGTCTGTGTTATCAGTGGCTGGGAAGATGTGGAGCTCTGGAGATGTGGCGATGTCCTTCAAGATTTCACTGTCCAGGACATAAGCCTTTCTAACTGGATCATCTTTTTCGCTTCCAGGTGTTAAGAATCATAAAGTAAGCAGATGAATCATGGCCCCATCTACATGCAGTCACTAGTGTGGAGGTGTTAAAGGTCCCTGGAAAACATGTAACTAGGTGTAATCATGGGTTTGGGACGCAGGTGTTCGTAAGATTACGATTAAGGGTTAATGAAGCTGTGGAGAACACTGTGGCCATGGCTTGGCGTTCTGACATCCATGTTACCCAGAATCCCCTCTTATGGGAGAAAACCTTCAGCCAATCAGTTGACACCATGCCAGAGACAGGGGAATTTACACACACGCTTGCACACACACACACACACACACACACACACACACACACACACACATCTAAGCCTGCTCATTCCCCACTTATGCAGTTGGCAAGGGGTGTGTATGTATGTGACAGAGCTCCTCACGGGCTAACATTTCCCCCAACTTGATTGATGGGGGAGGGGGGGCATTATGAGCTGGGCCTGCTCAGGTGTGGAGCTGAGCTCCGCCCTTAACCCGTGGTGCATGATGGATGGGCTGTCCCTGTTACCATGGCGCCTGTCCCGGCCCATCACACCAACTGGAACTCAGCCTCACACTCTGGCAGTACCTTTGTAAGCCCCCTGCCCCCCCACCCCGGTGAGTGGTTGAGCTCTTCAGGGGTGATTTTCTGGCCTCCAGCACCAGAATCTTGTCGCTTTTATAGAATCTGCTTTATCGCCACCGGAACTAGCAGCCAAACCGCTGGGTAACCGGAGAAGTCATTTAAATAATTACTCCATAAAGCTAACGGGAGCTGAACTGTTGAAATCCATGCCACACACAAACACACACACACACACACACACACACACACACACACACCGGGCAGCGGTCCGTGGGAGCTGGAGGCCTACACCAGTTAGCCTGAGCAGAGGCTCCCTGCGGGGAGGAAACAGGACGCCGCCACGCTACCTCCCCCAGACCCAAAGAACGAGCAGCGTGAGCTAAGAAGGTTGTCTTCATTAGCGTGTGATTAGCATGCATTAGCATGTCTCCACCCACTGGGCCTTGAGCTGCCTGCTGTGTTGAAAGGCACTTTTAACATTAGCTTGAGGAAAGGATACTGCCCCCCAGGCCTGGGGGGGGGGGAGAGCTCCTCCGTAGTGCTCAGGACACACACGGCCTGAGGCCCAGAGCAGGAAACACACGGTCTGTGTGAGTGTGTGTTCGTTAGCGGTTAGCTGGTGCTCACCAGTTGCTCTTCCACGTGTGCCTGACGTGTGGGTCATGGATGCCGTGTTTGTCCGCCTGCTCGTCCAGGAAGTCGAACATGTACTTGATGGCGAGCGGCAGGGCGCTGCCGCGGTGGGCCGTGCTGAAGATGGTCTCAAACAGGTCGTCCACGAACTTCTGCAGCGTGCCCTGCGGGACAAAGCGGGATGTGAAATCTGCAGCTAGGGGGCGCTCTCACACAGCTGCCACCACCCACACCACCGTGCCGACAGCCCACTCTGTTTCTGCTCGGTGTCCCTGTGCCTCCGCCTACCTACCAATCAGGACACAGAGACAGTGTGGCGCACAGACAGACAGACAGACACACACACAGTGCAGCAACCGAGCTGAACACACCTTTGTGGCCAGCAGGCGGGTCAGGTAGATCTCGGACACCATCTTGCTGCCACGGTCGCCCTCCTTCTGGTCGCCGTGCTCGTGGTTCTTGACCAGGTGCCACACCTTGACACCGCTCTCCATGTCGGGCGTCAGCATGGGCGTGCGTGAGCGCAGGCTGTCCGGGCTGCCCGTGTACTTCATCATGTTCTCTGGCCGGGGTCAAGACAGGAGACATGCACCTTTAGCCACGTCGCCCCCTGCCTGCGGTCCATGTAACTGCACCCAACCACCGTGGGGGGGGGGCTTTGGGCTGGGGTCTGTACTCAGGAGCCTCTGTGCTGAGGCGTGTGACACACTGAATATGCATGCAGGCTGAGCCACACGGTGCCGATGACATTTACGACAAAGCAGAAAGACAAACTATTAATGTTTATACAGAGCTGAGGGTATCGATGGGCGGGGCCGGGTGGGGGGAGCAGCCTGGGGGGAGACAGGGGAGGGAGGGTGGCATGGGAGAGCCACGTGATTGGACACGGTGGGGCGAGGCGTGGAGGGGTGTAACAAGGCCCTGATGGGATTTGCCGAGTGGAAACAGCTGGGGGGGGGAGGGAACGGCACTTGTGCCCCCCCACTAATGCATGTCTGCATTGAGAGGGGGGCGATGTCTCTTTCTAATGGTGATGCTCAGTGGGGCCCGGTCTCACAGCCAGCGAGGGCGCCCCCTAGAGATCGGCCGCTAATTGGCCCGCGGGCGGGAGGGGGGCGCTCTGCGGACTGACGGGTGTGGGGGCTGTGGTGCGTGAGCCTGCTGCCTCGTGTTTTGCGGGGACAAACTTTGAGAAGCTAGTGATAAGCAGATGTTGTGATGACAGCCCAAGAAAACAAATGAGAAAGAAAAAAGCAAAAAGGAAAGAGAATAAGGACATTTAAATATTTATGTCGCTTATCACTTTTAATGAGTTTTGTTGAGACTAAATGGAAAGTTCATTTGAGGACAGAAACGCGCGCATGTGTGTGAGTGTGTGTATGTCTGTGTGTGTCACAATTTTCAATTTTTAAAAGTTAAAATTTTTTTTTACACCACAGTCCAGGTGGCATTCCAGAACATTCCAAATCCAAACATATGTGTGTGTGTGTGTGTGTGTGTGTGTGATACATCCTCCAATAGGTAGCAGCATCTCCAGGCCACATCGAGGATAAGCTCACTTTCACACAGCCTGGCACCGCTTCCCGATCCCCGGCCCCACCCACACTGATACGTGTGCACGGGAATTGTGAGTAGTGCAGCTAGTGCCACACCCCCAGACACACCCCCCAGGAGGACTCACCGTATTTGCCGGCGGAGGTTCTGGAGACGGTGGAGTTGTTCACCGAATTGTAAACCATGACCTGCTTCGGTACGAGAGCCACCACTGCGTTATCGGGCACCTGGGGAGGGGGGGGGGGGACAAACCGTAAGGGTGTTATTGGTCTCTGACAGCAGTGCTTTAGCTCTGAAGGGGAACCTGGGAAGACAGCTGACAGTGCAAGGACACGAAGGGCAGCAAAACCTCACCGGGAGACAGGTGGGGGACAGGTGTGGGTGTGGGGGGGGGGTGCAGCACGTGTCAGGCAGGTGGTTAAATACGCAGGGTGCTGGTTTCTGTCCTGTGACCCTAGAACAGCTAATTGTGGGTAAAGAGTCAAAAACACCAGGGAAGTGTGTAATGAATTAAACGTGACAAAGCTGAAGGCATGAGCTTCGCTGGGGCACTGTGTGGAGGAAGAATCTTCTTGGGAGGGGGTGGGGGCTTGGTTTGAGGGGAGGGCTTAGATGGGGGGGGTGCTGGGCTCCAATTCCTGTTTCTTAAGGGAAGATAAAGCGTTTGACTCCGACCTGGAAGGCTGCGCAGTTTCTGGGTCCAGGCAGGTCTGTGTCATTTTGGCTATTATTGTAAAAAAAAAAACACAAACACAAACAACAAAGAAACAACTGAGAGCGCGAGTGTCTTAGGGACGGTATGCCTGACGGGGGGAGTGGAACCCAGCTAAGCAGACCGAGCGCGAGGCTGCTGCTTTCTCACCTTCCGGGGAATTTCACTCCGGCCAAGGAGAGTAAAAAAACAAACCAAGGCAGAGATGAACCTCAGGTTGCCGTGACGGGGGGGAGGGGGGGGGGGGCTCCCTCATGGAGCCGCGCGCTAACGGGCCCGCATCGCCATGCCTGCATCTTCTTTGTCAAGGATTACTTACCCTCCCCGACCGAAAATGAATTAGCTTCTGTCTTCATTATCTCATCTCCGATTCCAATCAACCCCTAATCCGCCCGCCGGGCCTCTTCCCTGCATCTAGGCTCGCCGTGACATTTAATTTAACCGCCCGCACCCTCGCCTGGAGGCTGTCCAGCTCATCTGAGAAATTGCTCACCAGTTAATGAACGGAGGTGACTATACCCCCCCCCCCCCCCCCCCCCCCCGCCCCCCATGAGCGATAATGTCCCCGGGCATGGCTAGCTCCACTCGGGGATTCTGAGCACTTTCGCAATTTCCTGTGCGCACGGCCACGCCAGTGACGGAATTGGGCCAATTCGGTCCCAAATCTGTACTGTGAGGCCAGCCGACGATATAACCCCCCTCCCCCATGACAGTTGTACCCTTCTCCTCATCACTCTCCCACATTAAGACCAGCACCTGACCAGCTACCCCTGATCCTTCTGCGGTTCCCCGTCTAGTGATGCCACTAGAGACGTTGCCTTCCAAATTAACATCATGCCAACCTCCCCCGTCATGTGGTGTGGGCCACTAGAAATATCAGTCTCCGAATTAACAACATGCCAATCTCCCCTGTCGTGTGATGTGGGCCACGGGAGACATTAGCTTCTAAATTAACATCATGGCAACCTCCAAACTAAGGGCTATTTGTTCGTAGATGTGACTAGTATTTCTTCCATTTTCATAAAAGCCATTTTCATAAAATTTTGAAAACTGTGCATAGGTGTCCACCAGTGAAATAAAGTATCCATAATACATGAAGTTTGGAGCCGAAGATGTGACCCGGTCCACCAGACGCGTCACAGGATGTCTGCTAAGGGCAGGATGTTAGGCATGCGTTTGTAACGCCGGAAAATCTGTAAACTTGCGTATTCTGCTGCACGCCCCAAGGCATTAGATATGGAACAATGAGATCGCATGTAAATTTGTAGCTGGAAATGATGGCTGTATAGAAGCCTTCTAAAACACAGAGGAGAGCGTTATTCAAAAAAAGGGGGGGGGGCAGTCTACAGAATCAAACGGGGGCGGGGGCTTCACTCAAAGGCTTTCTGTTGACGTTGTCATCCTGGGGTGGGGGGGTCACGGTGCAGGAAGAGGTACAGCGAAGCGCAGGATGTAAATTGTCCTCCTGAAGCGATGCAGCCCAGCTAGAGCCATTAGCTGGGATGATGGCATCCCATTAAATAAACCAACTGCATTATGCAGTATTTGCAGCGCAGACCCCAGAGGCGACTTTATGGGCATCCCCTGCGATCTGCTCTCGCAAATAATGCGCA